ACCTGCACTACCACACTGATGGTGGCTGACAACACCTGCAACACCACACTGATGGTGGCTGACAACACCTGCACCACCACACTGATGGTGGCTGACAACACCTGCACCACCACACTGATGGTGGCTGACAACACCTGCACCACCACACTGATGGTGACTGACAACACCTGCACCACCACACTGATGGTGGCTGACAACACCTGCACCACCACACTGATGGTGGCTGACAACACCTGCACCACCACACTGATGGTGGCTGACAACACCTGCACCACCACACTGATGGTGGCTGACAACACCTGCACTACCACAGTCATGGTGACTGACAACACCTGCACCATCTCAGTCATGGTGGCTGACAACACCTGCACCATCTCAGTCATGGTGGCTGACAACACCTGCACCATCTCAGTCATGGTGGCTGACAACACCTGCACCATCTCAGTCATGGTGGCTGACAACACCTGCACCATCTCAGTCATGGTGGCTGACAACACCTGCACCATCTCAGTCATGGTGGCTGACAACACCTGCACCATCTCAGTCATGGTGGCTGACAACACCTGCACCATCTCAGTCATGGTGGCTGACAACACCTGCTCCACCTTAGTCATGGTGACTGACAACACCTACACCACCTCAGTCATGGTGACTGACAACACCTACACCACCTCAGTCATGGTGGCTGACAACACCTGCAACACCTTAGTCATGGTGACTGACAACACCTGCACCACCTCAGTCATGGTGGCTGACAACACCTACACCACCTTAGTCATGGTGACTGACAACACCTGCACCACCACAGTCATGGTGGCTGACAACACCTGCACCACCTCAGTCATGGGGACTGACAACACCTGCACGACCAGTCTTGGTGACTGACAACACCTGCACCATCTCAGTCACGGTAGCTGACAACACCTGCACCACCACAGTGTTGGTGACTGGCAACACCTGCACCACTTCAGTCATGGTGACTGACAACACCTGCACCACCTCAGTCATGGTGACTGACAACACCTGCACCACCTCAGTTATGGTGACTGGCAACACCTGCACCACCTCAGTCATGGTGACTGACAACACCTACACCACCTCAGTCATGGTGGCTCACAACACCTGCACCACCTCAGTCATGGTGACTGACAACACCTGCACCACCATAGTGATGGTTACTGACAACACCTGCACCACCACCACAGTCATGGTGACTGACAACACATGTACCACGAGTGTTGCACCGCAGTGAATGCACCAACACGGTGAGTGTTGCAACACAGTGAATGCACCAACACGGTGAGTGTTGCAACACAGTGAATGCACCAACACGGTGAATGCACCAACACGGTGAGTGTTGCAACACGGTGAATGCACCAACACGGTGAGTGTTGCAACACGGCGAATGCACCAACACGGTGAGTGTTGCAACACGGCGAATGCACCAACACGGTGAGTGTTGCAACACGGTGAATGCACCAACACGGTGAGTGTTGCAACACGGTGAATGCACCAACACGGTGAGTGTTGCAATACGGCGAATGCACCAACACGGTGAGTGTTGCAACACGGCGAATGCACCAACACGGTGAGTGTTGCAACACGGTGAATGCACCAACACGGTGAGTGTTGCAACACGGCGAATGCACCAACACGGTGAGTGTTGCAAACACGGTGAATGCACCAACACGGTGAGTGTTGCAACACGGTGAATGCACCAACACGGTGAGTGTTGCAACACGGTGAATGCACCAACACGGTGAGTGTTGCAACACGGTGAATGCACCAACACGGTGAGTGTTGCAACACGGTGAATGCACCAACACGGTGAGTGTTGCAACACGGCGAATGCACCACCACACTGATGGTGGCTGACAACACCTGCACTACCACACTAATGGTGGCTGACAACACCTGCACCACCACACTGATGGTGGCTGACAACACCTGCACCACCACACTGATGGTGGCTGACAACACCTGCACCACCACACTGATGGTGGCTGACAACACCTGCACCACCACACTGATGGTGGCTGACAACACCTGCACCACCACACTAATGGTGGCTGACAACACCTGCACCACCACACTAATGGTGGCTGACAACACCTGCACTACCACAGTCATGGTGACTGACAACACCTGCACCATCTCAGTCATGGTGGCTGACAACACCTGCACCATCTCAGTCATGGTGGCTGACAACACCTGCACCATCTCAGTCATGGTGGCTGACAACACCTGCACCATCTCAGTCATGGTGGCTGACAACACCTGCACCATCTCAGTCATGGTGGCTAACAACACCTGCACCATCTCAGTCATGGTGGCTGACAACACCTGCACCATCTCAGTCATGGAAATAAATGGTATAAAATACCGACACAATGGAAATATAAACACATATGCAGTATGATGTGATCCTTTATTGACTACGTTTCGCCCACACAGTGGGCTTTTTCAAGTCACAAACAGAACTACCTGGGGTGGAAGGAACGCGAGTATTTATAGTCAGGTTCAGAATGCTGAGGTCAGGTGGAGAATGCTGCATCTGATGATGTACCGAGTGGGGTTATAGAGTCTAAAATCTTGGGTAGCTTGGAAAGGAGATTGGACAAGTTTGTGAGCAGACCTTCTACAGTGTTCTTATGTGGGATAGCGATGAAGAAGTTTCTTGGCAAGTGGTTCAGCTATGTTATAGAAGCCACTATTCTGGTTGAAGTTGTCGGATATAGAAATAAGTGATGATTCCAGGATTCTTCGGTATTGAGTGTTGTCTTCTGTGGCGATGAGTCTTGAGTTTCTGTAGTTTATCAAGTGGTTGTGTGAATTACAACCACTTGATAAACGATTTCAGCGATTTCATCGACCTTGTTGAACTATGTGTTGGCTTTACGTGTTTCTCTTTCGAAAATCACCTCTTTCAGCAGACTTTTGGACTACCCATGGGTTCGCCACTCAGTGCGGTCCTGGCGGACCTATACATGGAACATCTAGAAGCCGAACGTTTCTCCACCATTATTCCTTCGTCTGTCACCTGGCTCCGTTATGTTGACGACATTCTCCTCATAACTCCTAAACGCTTCAATGTTAAAGCTCTCCAAGACAAGCTCAACCAGGTCGAGCCTTCAATCCAGTTCACACTTGAAGAAGTCGACAACACTCTTCCTTTCCTTGATGTTCTGCTTTGCAAAGCTGACCACGAACTTCGTTTTAAAGTCTATCGAAAACCCACCAACCAAAACGATCTTCTCCACTTCTACTCTCACCACGACACCAAAACCAAACGTGGTGTAATTATAGGCTTCTTCCTGCGTGCACTCAGAATCTGCAGCAATGAGTTTCTTGAAGAAGAATGCACGATGATTGAACAAGTATTTTCTAAACTCCACTATCCTCGTCACTTCATCAGAGACTGCAGACGACGGGCATTAAACATCTTCAACACACCCAGAGAAGACACTGCCGAGAAGAGATACATAGTCCTCCCCACCAACTCCATTGCCAAACACGTTTCCAACATCTTTTCCAATACCTCATTTCAAGTATCTACCTCCACAACCACGACCATCAAGGACATTACCAGTGTAAAGTAAAAGGACACAAGTGCAACTAATGTGACATTTATTGTGGCAACGTTTCGCTCTCCAGGAGCTTTATCAAGCTTTATGGCTTGATAAAGCTCCTGGAGAGCGAAACGTTGCCACAATAAATGTCACATTAGTTGCACTTGTGTCCTTTTACTTTACATATTGTCGGTAATTCTACCAACTTTATTACGACATTACCAGTGATAGACAGGACAAGCTTCCACCCTCTGCAGGGGTATACATAATCCCTTGGCATCATGAAAATCGTTCCACTGTCTTTATATCTCTGTGACTCGTCTGTGTCACCTGAACTATCAATGTTTGTGGTATGGTGGTGGTGGTGGTGTCTGGTCTGGTCCGCCATCATAGTCATGTTTCCTCGGTGTATTCCTCTCAGTTTTAATATTAGTAGAGTTGCGAACCTTTGTACTTCTGCTCCAGTTCCTTGAATTAGTAATTCAAGTCTGAATGCCTTCCGTTACCCCAGGCGCTCTCTAACCCCCACGGTTTTAGCGTCTTTCCCAGGAAAGTTATAATAATTTGCACCTTGGAGGTTCCGCAGGTGTGACCTCCATAATCTGGTAACCTACTCAGTGAGTTGGTGTGACGTATATATCGTATATGACCTGATTGATTCTTTGTTGAAGTTCCCGAATGCTGTTCTGTAATTTATTAATATTTCGTTATGCCTCCGACGTTACAGTGTTTGTGGGTAATTCTGTATCCTGTACTGGGTGTCTGATCTGCCCTTGCCTCGATTGAACTCCAGTAGCCATTTGTTTGACGGCATCTCTAGTCTGTTTAGGTCTTACTGGAGCTGATATCATTTCTCTTATTATTTTGCTTCTCATTAACTTTACATCACCAAATAGTGACAAGTATGGCACAGTCTCTGAGGGCAGCAGTAACAGCCTGGTTGATCAGACTCTGATCCACCCTGAGGCCTGGTCTCAGACCGGGCCGCGGGGGCGTTGATCCCCGAAGCCCTCTCCAGGTAAACTCCAGGTCTCTTCCATCTGTGTGTGTGTGTGTGTGTGTGTGTGTCTGTGTGTGTGTGTGTGTGTGTATGTATGTGTGTGTATGTATGTGTGTGTGTGTGTGTGTATGTGTGTGTGTGTGTATGTGTGTGTGTGTGTGTGTGTGTGTGTGTGTGTGTGTGTGTGTGTGTGTGTGTGTGTGTACGTGCGTGAGTGCACATGTTCACTTTCGTAAGTGCAAAATAAAACGAAGATGTGGATGAGGTTTGATAACACAGCGGGACAAGTAAGTGTTGAAAATGTAATACATTAAGTAATGTTGTGGTGCACTTCTTCACTACTGACAAGGTCTTCACCTCAGCTGCAAAATACACACATTGAAATGGCACTAGTTCCTCGAGTGAAGGACCTCGTGAAGTACTAACTTTACCTGGTGGAGGGTGAGCAGCAGGAAGATGAGCATGGTGAAGAGTGTTGGTGCAGCTTGGTAACTCATTGTTGGAGAGAGTAAACTGGTGTTGGTGATGTGTTGAGTGACACTTGAGGTGTCTACCAGCTCGGACACTCAAGAGTTTTTGCTTGAGAGTAGGTTATTTCTCTCTCTTTTCTTTACTTCACTTAACACACTTGTTTGGTATGAACTTAAATTAGTTTTTGATTATTTGTTTACAAACTTTTTTATCCTCACAATAGGAAGGTAGTAATTATTCTCTAATAATAGCGAACAATATTCAAGAACACTTCAAGATTTTTAAGGCTTTTTTTTACTACTGATCGTCTTCAGTGGGTACAACAGATTGTGTGTAATAAGCCAGATAACAGCACTTGATGCACTTGGGGTGAACACTGCTGGGAGACACAGAGTACAGATAGATCTTGGAGTAATCAGACACGAATGTGTCTGATTACGTCTAGCTGATAATTTTGTATGATTGCAATTTGATTGTTACAGACTATGTTTATAACGGGGTTTCTATGTGTGGGGTGACGCGTGTCTTGGCTTGGTACAGTGTGGGGTGACGCGTGTCTTGGCTTGGTACAGTGTGGGGTGACGCGTGTCTTGGCTTGGTACAGTGTGGGGTGACGCGTGTCTTGGCTTGGTACAGTGTGGGGTGACGCGTGTCTTGGCTTGGTACAGTGTGGGTGACGCGTGTCTTGGCTTGGTACAGTGTGGGGTGACGCGTGTCTTGGCTTGGTACAGTGTGGGGTGACGCGTGTCTTGGCTTGGTACAGTGTGGGGTGACGCGTGTCTTGGCTTGGTACAGTGTGGGGTGACGCGTGTCTTGGCTTGGTACAGTCACTCTTGGTACTGTTTACAGATGCTGGATGAGCGTCAACTTCCTGGTGGTGAGCAGGAGGTCACGTGTGTCTTTCTTCATAGTAACTTCCACCACTGATCTCTGCTATCTTCCACCTTCCCAACACAATAAACAACAGCGTAAGATTTTCACACTAATTGTTATATCTGTAAGAAGCCAGTTGTGTTCACTGAAACAGTTGTCAGTGAGGGGCCATTATCACCCTTGACAGAAATGGTGATGGAAGCGATAATAGTTGCTTGTGGTGTAGATGGTGTCAGGGAGCAGTGCAGTGGTCACAGGAGAAGAGGTGACACAGCGTGGAGGCATGAGAGCCACGGTCTGGCGGCAGGTCCTCAGCTGGCGGCAGGTCCTCAGCTGCTGGTCTCCTGGCTGACACAGTTTGTTGTTCCGTCTCTGGCGCGTCACCTTCACCACTCCTGGGCAGAAAGAGACACACACATTAATAATACATCATTACATATTAAATTGTATTTTCATGCACCTTTACCTCTGATATACCTTTGAAGGCTCTTTGAGAGTTCCTACTCTCAAAAGCCTGTCTCGTGCTTGTCTGATCAACCAGGCTGTTACTGCCGGCCCCCGCTGGCTCACATATCAATCACAGCCTTCCTGATCTAGCACTTGGCGGAGGTGCTTGTCCAGTTTTCTTCTGAAAACTTGTACGCTTGTTCTGGCACTGTTTTTGATATTTTATGGTATGTTAAATGTTCTGGGCTCACAATGTTGATACAGGGTTCTCTTATTGTGCCCACGGATCCCCTGCTTTTCACTGGGTTCATTTAGCATATTTTCCATCTTTCTCACTCCAGTATGTTATGGCAGTGTGCAGATTTGATACTAGACCTTGAATCACCTTCAACGTATATACTATCATATATCTCCTCTTCCGCGGGCGACAAATGATCTCTGTATCTGTTTCAGCTCTGATATCTAATCTCTTTCTTGCCCCGAAAGGAACCGTCAACACTGAACAAACACTAAGAGAACACAAGTGATTTGTAAAGTGTTACCATTGACACTGTTTCCCCTTGATTAAAAATACTTATCCACCCCATCATTCTCTAGCTTTTTATTTACCTTATTGTGATCTGTGTAAGATCACCTGATAGTATCAAACTCACATGTTCTCTTCATATTGTTTGATAAGTTCGTATTTTGTTTACTGTTTCTCTCTTTGAGTTGTTTATTCTTTCCATATCTAAGTAATTGGAACTTGTGACCACTGAACATCCTGTTATTCTCCACTCCCCACTGCAACACTTTTATTCTCCACTCCCCACTGCAACACTTTTATTCTCCACTCCCCACTGCAGCACTTTTATTCTCCACTCCCCACTGCAACACTTTTATTCTCCACTCCCCACTGCAACACTTTTATTCTCCACTCCCCACTGCAGCACTTTTATTCTCCACTCCCCACTGCAACACTTTTATTCTCCACTCCCCACTGCAGCACTTTTATTCTCCACTCCCCACTGCAACACTTTTATTCTCCACTCCCCACTGCAGCACTTTTATTCTCCACTCCCCACTGCAACACTTTTATTCTCCACTCCCCACTGCAACACTTTTATTCTCCACTCCCCACTGCAGCACTTTTATTCTCCACTCCCCACTGCAACACTTTTATTCCCCACTCCCCACTGCAACACTTTTATTCTCCACTCCCCACTGCAACACTTTTATTCTCCACTCCCCACTGCAACACTTTTATTCTCCACTCCCCACTGCAACACTTTTATTCTCCACTCCCCACTGCAACACTTTTATTCTCCACTCCCCACTGCAACACTTTTATTCTCCACTCCCCACTGCAACACTTTTATTCTCCACTCCCCACTGCAACACTTTTATTCCCCACTCCCCACTGCAACACTTTTATTCCCCACTCCCCACTGCAACACTTTTATTCCCCACTCCCTACTGGAACACTTTTATTCTCCACTCCCCACTGCAACACTTTTATTCCCCACTCCCCACTGCAACACTTTTATTCTCCACTCCCCACTGCAACACTTTATTCTCCACTCCCCACTGCAACACTTTTATTCTCCACTCCCCACTGCAACACTTTTATTCTCCACTCCCCACTGCAACACTTTTATTCCCACTCCCCACTGCAACACTTTTATTCCCCACTCCCCACTGCAACACTTTTATTCCCCACTCCCCACTGCAGCACTTTTATTCCCACTCCCCACTGCAACACTTTTATTCCCACTCCCCACTGCAACACTTTTATTCTCCACTCCCCACTGCAGCACTTTTATTCTCCACTCCCCACTGCAACACTTTTATTCTCCACTCCCCACTGCAACACTTTTATTCTCCACTCCCCACTGCAACACTTTTATTCTCCACTCCCCACTGCAACACTTTTATTCTCCACTCCCCACTGCAGCACTTTTATTCTCCACTCCCCGCTGCAACACTTTTATTCTCCACTCCCCACTGCAACACTTTTATTCTCCACTCCCCACTGCAACACTTTTATTCTCCACTCCCCACTGCAGCACTTTTATTCTCCACTCCCCACTGCAACACTTTTATTCTCCACTCCCCACTGCAACACTTTTATTCTCCACTCCCCACTGCAACACTTTTATTCTCCACTCCCCACTGCAACACTTTTATTCTCCACTCCCCACTGCAACACTTTTATTCTCCACTCCCCACTGCAACACTTTTATTCTCCACTCCCCACTGCACACTTTTATTCTTCACTCCCCACTGCAACACTTTTATTCCCACTCCCCACTGCAACACTTTTATTCTCCACTCCCCACTGCAACACTTTTATTCCCCACTCCCCACTGCAGCACTTTTATTCCCCACTCCCCACTGCAACACTTTTATTCCCACTCCCCACTGCAACACTTTTATTCTCCACTCCCCACTGCAACACTTTTATTCCTCCACTCCCCACTGCAACACTTTTATTCTCCACTCCCCACTGCAACACTTTTATTCCCACTCCCCCTGCAACACTTTTATTCCCCACTCCCACTGCAACACTTTTATCCCCACTCCCCACTGCAGCACTTTTATTCCCACTCCCCACTGCAACACTTTTATCCCCACTCCCCACTGCAACACTTTTATTTCCCACTCCCCACTGCAACACTTTTATTCTCCACTCCCCACTGCAGCACTTTTTTCTCCACCCCCACTGCAACACTTTTATTCTCCACTCCCCACTGCAACACTTTTATTCTCCACTCCCCACTGCAACACTTTTATTCCCCACTCCCCACTGCAACACTTTTTATTCCCCACTCCCAACTGCAACACTTTTATTCTCCACTCCCCACTGCAACACTTTTATTCCCCACTCCCCACTGCAACACTTTTATTCTCCACTCCCCACTGCAGCACTTTTATTCTCCACTCCCCACTGCAACACTTATTCCCCACTCCCCACTGCAACACTTTTATTCCCCACTCCCCACTGCAACACTTTTATTCTCCACTCCCCACTGCAACACTTTTATTCCCCACTCCCCACTGGAACACTTTTATTCTCCACTCCCCACTGCAACACTTTTATTCCCCACTCCCCACTGCAACACTTTTATTCCCCACTCCCCACTGCAACACTTTTATTCCCCACTCCCCACTGGAACACTTTTATTCTCCACTCCCCACTGCAACACTTTTATTCCCCACTCCCCACTGCAACACTTTTATTCTCCACTCCCCACTGCAACACTTTTATTCCCCACTCCCCACTGCAACACTTTTATTCCCCACTCCCCACTGCAACACTTATTCTCCACTCCCCACTGCAACACTTTTATTCTCCACTCCCCACTGCAACACTTTTATTCTCCACTCCCCACTGCAACACTTTTATTCTCCACTCCCCACTGCAACACTTTTATTCTCCACTCCCCACTGCAACACTTTTATTCTCCACTCCCCACTGCAACACTTTTATTCTCCACTCCCCACTGCAACACTTTTATTCTCCACTCCCCGCTGCAACACTTTTATTCTCCACTCCCCACTGCAACACTTTGCCACAGTGGGCTTTGCCAAAACATCATTCCAAGTATCTACCTCCACAACCACGACCATCAAGGACATCACCAGTAGTAGACAGGACAAGCCTCCATCCTCTGCAGGGGTATACATAATCCCTTGTAATGACTGCAACAAATTATATGTGGGCGAAACATCAAGAGACCTCCAAACACGCATTTCAGAACACCAATATGCAAGCAGGACTGACGATACAAGGAATGCCTGTGTACAGCATCGCAATTCACACAACCATTTAATTAACTACAGAAACTCAAGACTTATAGCCACAGAAGACAACACTCAATACAGAAGAATCCTGGAATCATCGCTTATCTCTATAACCAACAATTTCAACCAGAACAGTGGCTTCTATAACATAGCTGAACCACTCGCCAAGAAACTTCTTCATCGCTATCCCACATAAGAACATAGGACACTGCAGAAGGTCTACAACTTGTCCAATACCCCTGCCAAGCTACCCAAGACTCTATAACCCCACCCGGTGGATCATCAGATGCAGCATTCTTCACCTGACCTCAACATTCTGACTATAAATACTCTCGTACCTTCCAACCCCAGGTAGATCCGTGTGTGACTTGAGAAAGCCCACTGTGTGGGTGAAACGTTGTCAATAAAGGATCACATTATACTGCATTTGTGTTTATATTTCCATTGTGTCGGTATTTTATACCATTTATTACAACCTCCCGGGGTCATCAATCTCCCGTGGTCATCAACCTCAAGTGTTATAATTAATAACAACACAATGTGTGGTTTAAGTTCTTACTTCACCACAAACATAATTTATTCCTTAATATATCTGCACACAAAAAATATATTAATCAATATTGTATTTGTTTACATTATATTTTATAATGTTTACAATGTTTACATTGTTTTATCAATGTTTTTTACAATGTTTACAATGTTTACATTGATCTGAAGTTTAACTTTATCCAAGTAAATCAAGTCAACGACTTTGTTGATAAATGGTTGAGAGAAGCGACAAGTTGATAATTACACACATGTGCAACACCTGGGTATCTTTATTGTGCAAATGTTTCTCCAGACACTGGCTTCATCAGTCCATACAAAGAAAAATGGTTGAAGATCAGGAGTTTGTGGTAATCAGTCCCTCAGCCTGGAGTAGATGTCATCAGTCCCTCAGCCTGGAGTAGATGTCATCAGTCCCTCAGCCTGGAGTAGATGTCATCAGTCCCTCAGCCTGGAGTAGATGTCATCAGTCCCTCAGCCTGGAGTAGATGTCATCAGTCTCTCAGCCTGGAGTAGATGTCATCAGTCCCTCAGCCTGGAGTAGATGTCATCAGTCCCTCAGCCTGGAGTAGATGTCATCAGTCCCTCAGCCTGGAGTAGATGTCATCAGTCCCTCAGC